ACCTACTTTTTATAGGTTGGCTAGATCAACTTAATGAGATATCTCATAGATTATTTGGAGAACCTATGCTTTCCCTAAATACTGTGGAGAAAGTAACTGGCTGCAAATGAAGACTGAAACAAAAGCAATTGTGACCGAATAGCTGCATCCTCCCGTAAATAATTTATCTTTTTAAAAGTGGGTTGACTTCATTTTCGCAACTTGATCTTGTAGTCAGGATTACTTAGTTGAATGCACCTTGTCCGAAGTCGTCTGTCATAGTAATTATCATAATTCTCAGCATCAGACAGCGGACTTGAAACATTCATAGACGTTCCATCAACATCGTAGTGGGCAGAATAAGTGAATCTTCCCATTCTATGAACCAAGCTACAACCCCATCAGAGACAAGTGAATTCATTCCTTCGACAAACGTTCTGCAGAACCGGTTACACTATCACTCCTCTTTCTGTCGTGGCCCATCTATCTACTTCTTATCCTCTTAACTAACTCCTGACTTATCACTTCTCGTTTATATTCCACTCGTAAAATTGTATCATTTTTGGGAAAATTTAGTGTGGTTTCATAACATCTGCTATTCACCCTGGCCCCTTCTCTTCCGATCGGCTAATTCGACTCGGGTCTCCTATTGGGATATCTCTCATGGTCCTGTAGATACAATTCTTATCTTTCTGGAGGACCGATTTCACTCGGTTCCAGTCCTAGTGTGTATTCTACTCTAGGCGCTATTTCTCAACGCTTTAGAAGCATGTACACTGCCGCATCACCGAGCAGAGCGCTTAGGCTCTGATTCCCATGGTTGTATATATTAGACATTGCCTTCAAGAGTCGTCTCCTTGATTAAACCCGTATTAGATCGTAGATATGAAGGCCAAGATGGTGTCGCCTTCTGTTTGATCACAGTCTCTTTTAGCTTTATTGTTGATTTGACTTTGCTTTCGCAACTTGGTACGAGTGTCAGGGAAACCTTGTTAAAGGTACCTAGTTCCTTGTCCTTTGTCATAGCATTCGTGATTTCCTGTATTGAACCATTGACTTACTACATTTCCATTAAACATTTCGCCTGTGTTGTAGTCGGCGACCAGATAGACTAGTTTAATGCCAAACGCTTAGCTGGATATAGAGACTATACCAGTGAACGGAAGATTAGGGAATATATAAAAATCAACAAAACAGCCAACACTGAATAGAAAGAACGAGTGTAGGAAATTAAGTGGAAACAACCTCTGGCTGTGTGATATGATTAAAGAGAGAGATATGGGGGGAACAAAAAGTACTGCTGAGCAAGAGACTTGATAAGCCTCAAATCTAGTTTTCACTCTCAAACCCCACGCGTCTCATGACCATTGCATGCACACAGCAAACGTACAATGAAACACAATCAAAAGCGGCACCAATGCAGAATCAAACAAAAAAGATAAGTGTTTTAGGGGAGGATGCAGTTGTTCGGTCACAATCACATCCGTTTTATGTTTTATTTGCAGCCACTTCACTTCTCAACAGCATGTAGGAAAAGCATAGGAGCTCCAACTAGGTTATAAGATGTTTCGCTAAATGGACCTAGCTAAATTATAAAAATTAGATATGATTGCAGCCGGCAATCTTTCTTATATTTGTGCCTGATGAACTAACGTAAAGTATGATATCTTGCTCTGACGATGTCCGTCACATGATGGACGAAAGCTCAGCAGGGATTAATTGGTATCGCAGGACAGCGCCTCTTCAAGCAAAATGAAAGGTACTTCAACATATATCAGTCTGTTAGAGAAAATACTTCGTAAGCAGGAAAACAACTCATATTGAAAAAAAATCGTCAAAGAGCGAAAAGGAATAATCAGAAGTTAGGCCCGAAACGATTATAAGGTTCGGCATAAATGTATACTCCTTTATGCACGTGCCTGTTAATTTATCTGAAAATTTGATTGAGCCTGCTCCCTTTGCATGTCCATGACTTGCTAAGTGAGCAGCCAGCAATTTAGACACTCGGCCTGCTAAGCCCCAGACACTAGACGCTGCACAACGGGTCGCCTCGACTGATAGAAGGAGCTCCGCATCACAGTCATCAAAACTGACTACATTCGACTGAATTTCCGGATCAAAGTTTAGTTCAATTCCAACGGGAAAAGATTTTCGTCGTCGTTGGTTGCTTGAAAAACCTATGGAATGACTAGCATTGATGGGGCTGCGAAATGAGAAGCCGAGAAGGCAGGCAAGAGTGAGTCCCGATGTATTGGAAAAGCGGTAGACGTCGTGCTCCTCTGCCTCCAGTTGTCGAGTCAGATCAAGACCCACTTTTCCCTCTTCTTCGTCATGGCATTCTAAATCATTGGACAGGAATTTAGGCTCCGTACCATTAGGTTCTGTGGGATATTGTGTGTAATTGGACTGGGGCGACAAGACCTCTTTGCTGAGCTGTTGGCAGCCAATCTAGAGATGAAGGAAAAAAGTAAAATCTCACGAACTTAACAATATTAGAATATGAGGAAACGATAGTAATGGGGCCTCAAAATTCTTAATATAAGCGTGAGAAAAAGAGAAATGTGACGTATATAAATTTTAAGTAAGAACTGTATCCGTCCTATTTCTGAAAGGATGGATAATCAAAAGATAGACTTGTGAGGCCCACTCATATAAGGGAAAATTCAGTCCTCCGTCATATTCTGCGACCTCTAAAGAATACTCTCGTAAAAATCTTGTGATATGAGTGATGCCTAAAATGGCCACGAAAGTCAGGTCAGTACTGTTACCCATTTACATCCTTGTAAGTGTGTAGTAGCTGTAGAATACCGAGAATATACACTGCACTAGCATGTTCGATTTCCGCTATAGATACTGATAAGATTGATGCGAGGGTTAAACAGCAATCCACCCAGGATGTAAATATCTTTTGCAAGGCAATATCCAATGAAACTTAATGACATCAAGAGACCAACTTCTAGCATTGTAGGAAAAGTAAACTTGCAGTGCATCATCAGCTAATGTAAACATATAGTGGATAAAGTGCGTATTTGAGATCTAGTAGTAGTAACAAAACCGAATCAAGATATGAAAAAAAAATTTCAAATAAACAAAGATATGGAGATCAGGATTGTGTGGCCTTCGGTATGTCGCAGCCTCATTTCGATTTATAAAAGTGGGTTGACATCTTCACAACTTGGTCTTAATGTCAAGTGGACTTAGTTGAACCCAACTTGTCGGAAACCATTTTTAATAGTAGTTATCATAATTTCCAGCATCAGACCTTGGACTTGGTACATTCTCAGACGTTTCGCCAGCACCGTAGTCGGCATCATCAGTGAGTCCTGCCATTATCTGCACCAAGCTATAAACTAGTCATAAACAAGTCAGTCCTACGAACGTTCTGCCGAAAC